CCCCTCTCCAGATCGCAGCCAGCGATGCCAGGGGGTCCCCTTGGATCCCGGGGTTCGTGGGCAGGGGGCCCAGTGCTGCGGGGGGGGGCCCTCTCTCTAGGAGCCCTGGTCAGGAGAGCATGGCCCCAGAATCACCCCGGGAAAAACCAGACCAGTTTGGGGAAGGAGTGGGAGTGTAGGCCTGCGCTCAGCGCTGGGCACCTTGGGCTGTCTGAGCATTTTCTTTGGTTTTACTGTATTTTCCTCATCATAGGAAAATAACAATGACTGGAACAAGGTCATTAAGCAAGTTGGTGGCAGAGCTGGAACAGGCCTCCCTCCTGACCACCCGTCCAGTAGAACTCTCTGGGAGCACTCCCGTGTCCAGCTATGCCCTAGAAGGGGGAAGTTCCCCAAAGGGCCACTGGCTGGTGGGGTGATGGGGGTGGTTAAAAAAGTACTTAAAAGGCCTGATTCCCTGCCTCCCACTCTGGGACCTATCAAGACTGACCTATTATTTGGATGGGTGGACATGAGTGCTCAGGCACCTGGGGCCTATGCTCTGTATAAATTTCTGCTCGAGGCCGGCATTGCCCTGTGATTGTGTGTGTGTGTTGTGAGGATCGTGGAAAACACGACTGAGTGGGGAGGAGAATACATCCCCTTTTAGCTGCTTTCATTCACTTTTTAATTCCACAGCTATTTCATATTTGGGGATACAGCTCCAGAAATACAAACATCCTTAGGATGCTTACAGTCCAGTAGGCAAGGCAGGCAATAAAACAGCCGCACAAGTAAATGCATGTATTTGTGTCCCGGTGCCCAGTTCTTTTCCTCCATGGAGTAATTCACAGTTTGAAATAACGGGTTATGGTATATACCCTTTAGCAAGATGGACGGGAACCTGGAATCCGTCCCAGCTGACACCACCAGGCCGTGGCATTTTGGAGGCATTCAGATCACGGCTGGGAATGAGACTGATCTTGGGGCTCCAAATAACTCACCTGGGGATGTCTGAAATTCCATTGGGGGCCCTTCTCTAAGATTAACCTTTATTCTTTCTCTGAGACCCTGTTTAAAATTCAAATCCCTAGGGGATGGGCGCTGCAAGTGGGTTCACTGAGTTCATAGCATGGCAGTGCCCTGTCACANTGGGGGATGGGAGCTGCAAGTGGGTTCACTGAGTTCATAGTATGGCAGTGCTGTGTCACGAGACAGAGCTGCCCAAGGGCCCTGGACCCCAAAAGATGCTCCTGATGGGTTCCACGAGGAGATCCAGAGGGCCGCAATCTCCTCCATCACCCTCTGCTGCTCACTCAGTCCAGTTCCGCCTGCAGAAAGGAGAGCCAGAGGGAAGTGGGGAAGACTAAGGCCTAATCAAAACCCTGGCCCAGAGTCCCAGCCTCACTGTTGCTGAAAAAGCCAGGAACCCCAGACACATCTCACCTGCAGGGCCCTGCTGTCTCCCATCTACCCTACCCCTCCCTATTGCTCCTGCGGAGCCCTCTCCTCAATGACAGCTCTGCGGTTGCCCACAGGACTTGACAAGAACTTCCAAGGTTCTTGAAACACATTCAGCTACCAGTGTGCACCTACTAGCCCTCCTGCCCGGAGGCCACATTTGGCACTCCATTGGGGGGAGGGGTGTGTGGAGCCCAGCCACCCAGAGCGGCCCTGGAGTGAGGCTGGCGCACTGTCCAGGGCGTGGCCCGGCTGCCCGGCTGGTCCCCTCACACAAGCATCTGCACGCTCCTTCCCTTCCTGGCTTCCTTCCTCTCGGTCCCTCCCTCACCAACCTACCTGGAGGCAGGTAATAAAGCAGGGGGAGGAAGATGGATGAGTGCGGAGGGCGGAGAGCCACGTGGTGCCATAAAGCCCAGCTAAAGAGGGCCCGTCCTGGGAGTGTCCAGCCTGCAGGAGCCAAGGCTCAGAAGGGGGTCTGTCCGCTTTGGGAGCCGGAGCCGGAGCAACAAGCCCTGGGGAAGGCCATGCACCGAGGCGTGCCAGGACCAGGCCTCAGGGGCCTGAAGGCGGCCGAGGGCTCTGCCAAGGACTTGGGGGGCTCTTGCCTGGAGGCCGGGAGGGATTTTGGGGTGCTGAAGGAGAACGGCGCTCCCCGCACCCTGGGCGAAGCAGATGAGGCGCCGAGCAGCAGAAAGCGCGCGCGGCCGGCGCGGTCCAAGGCGCGGCGCGTGGCGGCCAACGTGCGGGAGCGCAAGCGCATCCTGGACTACAACGAGGCTTTCAACGCGCTGCGCCGGGCGCTGCGGCACGACCTGGGTGGCAAGAGGCTCTCCAAGATCGCCACGCTCCGCAGGGCCATCCACCGCATCACCGCGCTTTCCCT